TCTCTGGAGACTAAGGTGCGTCTGATACAGGCTTTGGTCTTCCCAATCATTTGTTATGCATCAGAGAGTTGGACAATGACCAAGGAGGATAGAAGGAGAAATGATGCCTTTGAGCTGTGGTGCTGGAGAATACCATGGACTGCTAGGAAAACAAACAGATTTGTCCTGGGGAGGGTTAAACCTGGTGGCTCCTTGGAGGCAAGGATTCTGAGGCTCCGTCTAACATACTTTGGACATGTTGTGAGTAGAGACCAGTCCTTGGAGAAGGACATCATGCTTGGGAGGGTGGAGGGACAGCGCAGGAGAGGAAGGTCCTCTATGAGGTGGATTGATTCAGTGACTGGAATAATTGGGATGTGAGTGTCAGAGACGGTGCGATTGGCACAGGACATAGCGGAGTTTAGGGCTGTTGTACATAGGGTTGCTATGAGTCGTAGGCGACTCAACGGCACATAACAACAACAACAACAACAAAACAAAGACATTATTATCTTTCTTTATGTAATGCATTCTTTTTCTGACTGCCTTAAAGATATTCTCTTTAATAGTTGATTTTAAGTACTTTTACCATGATATATCTAAGTGGGGAGAGGAAGGAGAAAGGAGATTTTGTTTCTTCTAATGTAATTCTCAAGCTTCTTGGATCTGTGCCCCATTCTTCCTTCTCCCCTTCCTGCCACGTGACTTCCTACTTCCGCTACATACATGTTTCATTATTTTATATTGTTCTACTGTTCTTGGATGCTCTGATCTTTATTCTCTATAGGTCTCTCTATTCATATGTACTGATTATTTCCTCAGCTGTGTTCAGGTTGCTTCTAAGCCTGTTAAACATAATATCAAAAATATCCATGTTCTTTTTTATTTATAGCATTTCCATTTGACGCTTTCATAGTGTCCATTTCTTTTGAAGCTCTCCATCTCTTTATACATGTTGTTCACCTTTCCTACTAGATCCTTTAAAATGTTACTCATACTTATTTTTTTAAGTCTCTATCCGAAGATTCTACCATTATCTGTGTTAATTATGGTTGTGTTGAATGGTTTCTCTCTTGACAATGAGTTTGTTTTGGGGAAGGTTTTTTTTTTTTGCTTGCTGTTTTTGTGTTTCCAGTAGATTTCTGTTGCATAATAGACATTACATGCATTGCCATGGGAAAGTCTGCTGTTAGGGACCTCTCCAGGGTCCTGAAGAGCAATGGTGTCACTCTGGAGACTAAGGTGTGTCTGATACAGGCTATGGTCTTTGCAGTCACTTGTTATGCATCAGAGAGTTGGACAACGACTAGGGAGAATAGAAGGAGAATTGATGCCTTTGAGTTGTGGTGCTGGAGAAGAGTATTGAATGTACCATGGACTGCCAAGAAAATAAACAGATTGAGCCTGGAGAGGGTTAAACCAGGCTGCTCCTTGGAGGCAAGGATTCTGGAGCTTCATGTGATATACTTTGGACATGTTGTAAGGAGGGACAGGTCCTTGGAGAGGGACATCATGCTTGGGAGCGTGGAGGGATGGAGCAAGAGGGGAAGACCCTCTATGAGGAATTGATTCAGTGACTGAGGTAATTGGGATGGGTGTGTCAGAGACAGTATGATTGGCACAGGATAGAGCAGGGTTTAGGGCCGTTGTACATAGGATCGCTATGAGTTGCAAGCGACTCGACGACACATAATAACAACAACAATAGACATTATCGTATAAAAGAATGGTGGAAACAATAGTATTTATACCTAGAAATTATTCTATTCATACAATGACTTAAGTTAATCTTAATCTAGTAGTAGTTGGGCTGAATTCAGGTTTTATTGTTACCGTCCGTGCACTACATCCAGTTTTTTGAGCATGTAGGAGAAAGCTTGCAGGTTTTGGTTGAGCCTGTGATGCTGAGGAGAATTTTCTTGTTTCTCCATCCTCAGCATAGTCTCTATTATAGAAGGGCTCGCTATCTGTGTTCTTACTTCTCCTAGAGGTGGGCCGCTGTTTCTTGTTTCTGCTGGTAGACTTAGTGGTAGCCATTCTAGATTTGAGTTACCGTAAGTGCAAAGGCTCAGGACTCTGAGATGCCTTGATGTCACTGGTCACTTCACGGATGAAAGATGAGGCTGTCTGCTTCGGTAAATATTACACCCTTAGAAATCATATGGCTCAGCTGTCCTCTGCCCTGGAGGGTTACTTTGAGTTGGAATTGGCTCAAAGCAATGGGATGCAAGAAGAGAGACTTCTATTGACAGGACAGCTCTGAACGAGGGGAGCCATCAATACGTGAATATCATAAGCCTGAACTCTCACATTCCTAAACCACTGCATACAAATGTCCAGTATCCAGCTGAGAGGCCCACACAGCCATCTTTTCATTTTCTCATTGTTTGGTGCTATGCCACAGTCCTGGAGCACTGCTCTGTGCCCATCTTGGATCTTTTCTGCCCCTCCCCCAGCTGTAACGGGTCAGATTCTGTTTTGTGGTGGGCCCAAGGGATTTCCTCTCTCTCCTGAGGGTGAAGAACTTTTCCTCTACCTTTAGAAGCAAGAAGTCTTTGCTTGAGCTCTAAGGGTAGAACATTTCCTGAACTTCCCCAGTGGCTGGTGCTTTCTTGCTTTATGTGGGAGAGGGCATTTGGGAAAGTGACTGGGATTTTGTACCAACCCCTAGTGCAACGCCTATATCTACATCAACAAGGAGGGCTATTTCTGGCCCCTTGCCCTTCATCTTCCTATAAGCACTGGGGAGAGACCCATGGAAAAGAGCTTGCAAATGAATACAGATGTCCCTCTTGTCTGGGGCTCCCTCAAGTTCCGAGCATCACATCAGCCAACACTTGACCTTCACAAATTCATTAACATTTTAGCTGCTTCCTTCTCACCTTCTCTTATGCGAAGGGACTCTTCCTCCTGTGTATTAGCAATAGTGTGACCATTTATGCTGGTAGCTCCTTGCAGGGTTTTGTCAGTCTCTGGAATCCTGTTCACTTGGTTGCCTGGTAACCTCAGCTCTCTGGTAGGCTGAGAAAATCATGATTCTCTGGGTTTTCTGCCTTTTTTTCTCTCATTGTTAGTCTGAAAGCACCTTTCTCTTGCAACTTTTCAGCTCATTAGTGGAAGCAGAACTAGTATATGTATTTTAATGTGTGGCATTTTATGCTCATGGACAACATGTGGGAATTTTCAAGGTAATTTTTCTACACACAGTTTTTACCTTATTAGCTGATATTAGAGCCTGATCCTGCTTGAGGTTCAAGGATCCCCTGTCCTATGGGATCTTACAAGGTGTAGAGAGTATCCAGTCATACTTGACTCGGCAGTACCTAACAAAAACAAATAAAGGCACTATTTGACCCATAGCTGCTCAGCATATGGTTATAATAGTTTCGTTTTAGGGTCATGGAATGCCGTGCAGAGTAGTGCCATGTCACAGATACTTCATGTGCCTTGTAAGAGAGGGAGGCTTGCCACATTACATATTCAAGGAGCCCAATAAGGGACGCTTACTTACCTAATTATCAGGTATAAGAGGCACAGGACAGCTTCCTCCAGAAAGGATATGATGTGTGTTGTGTTGATTACTCTGTCTCCAAGACTCCATCCTAGGGTGGAGGCCAGGAGCAGCAAGTCTGGCCGTAGGCCTCTGTCAGCACAGATTATGCTCTGATACTCATGAGGAACACATGCATACAGTAGGGGCCAAATGGCCAGCCCAGAGCACACAGAAAGGTGACAGTGTCAGGACCTGGGTTGGCACAGGCTTGCAGCTTGGCATCCCACAGAACCCAGCCCAGTCCTTAGAGACTGGAATAAACTCCAAGACTGTCCTTTCATCCTTCTTCATACCTGGAACAGAACTCTCACCCCTGTGATTCAACCTTCAGCCAAACAGTAGACAAGCCTGTAAAGTGAGCATGAACACCACGGAAATACTCCTAAGAATAATAAACCACATCATACCAGAAAGACAGCATTTGCCCATGGATAAGGCTCAGAAAGCAGGAAGAGATAGGATGGACAGACTAATGGAAGTGAGATTCGCAGAAATGAAGCAGGAAGAGGGCAGTGACATCATGGCTGTTAAAATTAATGTAAAACAAAATATGTACGAATGGTTGAATAGAAAACCAACTTGCTTTGTGAATTTGTCTTCAAATGATAATAAAAATAAAGAAAAATAAGTCCCAGCTGTACTGATGCCTAGAGGTGAGATTTGGGGAAAGTCCTTTCTGGGCTTCACTTTCTTCCTCTGAAGCAGACGTATGACCACTATTTACAGAGGTGGTAAGCCTGTGGGTCTGACTATCTCACTCTCTCTCTCTCTCTCTGCCCCTGCTTTCAGGAAAATCTGCAGAAGCTGGTCCACATCGAGCACAGCGTCCAGGGCCAAGGGGATCTCCTCCAGCCAGGAAGGGTGAGTACGGCCACTGCCATGGGCAGGGGCAGAGGGTGGACTAGCTGGCAAGCTGGTGAGGCGCTGATAAGCCCATTGTTCAACAGGGCTGGTCCCAGACGGTTCTGGCTGCAGGTGCTGTTTATGCGTGGGTGGAAGGAGGGAGGGAAGGGCGCTGGCTCACTGGCCTAGCCCAGACCCTTGGGCCCTGCTGGAGTTTTCCACACAGGCATATGCTCCCAGGCATGCCACGTGGTTTCAGTGCTCCCTAGGGTTAGTGAAAAATCCATTTTTAAAAAATCTACCTCTGAAAAACAATTATTCTCCAAGAGACAAATTTACCTACTTTTAAGCTTCCAGTTAAGAGGTTCTAGTGGCACAGTAGAAGCATGTTGGCACTGCTAATCAAAAGGCCAGCGGTTCACATCGACCTTTCCTTGTGGGAGAAAGAGGAAATCTTAGCTCTGAGTTTAGCTTGGAAGGTTGGCTGAGACAGAATTCATTTGCGTTGCAGTGAGTTGGGTTAGTTTCCAGATGGAAAAACAAAACTTAATAAATTGTCAAAAACATGTTCGTTATGTGCTCTGAAGCCCATGGAGGATGAGATAAAAAAGAATTAACAGTTGTGCTCAGGAGACTATACAAAATTATCAGACTCTAAGGACATTCAGCTCTGGTAACCTAGTGGCAAGAAGTACAATTTTGAAGGCACGCAGTTCGAGGCCACCAGTTCCTCTACAGAAGAAGCATGGACCATCTCTTTCTGTGCGATTAACGACCTCTGAATGCCCACTGGAGGGTCTGCTATGGGTCGGTTCAGACTCTCTGGTCCACAACAACAACAAGGGCATGTCTATTTGAGGGCCCATAACAATAAGTACTTTCTGGCCTAGATTCTCAAGTCAGTAAATGTTACTTGCCCATTTGTATCCTCCATAACTAAGGTTTACCAACTGTTTGGTCTTCAGCTCTTTCATTGACCTTAAGAGGCTCTGTTCTCTGTGTCTCCTCTCCTTATAGTGGTAAACCAGGGAGAGACTCATTGTTTGGATAACTCTTCAGGTTAGAAGAATTGGTGTCTCTGGATTTTGGTATTAAGAGTTCTGATAGCCCATTAACTGTCAGAACAACGAGCAAGCCTGTCTGGGAGGAAGTGTAACCAGAGTGCTCTTTAGAAGCAAAGATGTGAAAGTTCCTCTCACATACTTTGATCAGATTGTCTTGAGGGGCTTGTCCTTTCGAAAAGACATCATGCTGACAATTGTGGAGTGTGAGAGAATGAGAGGAAGACCCTGAACAAGACGGACTGACGCAATGACTCTTAACAGTGGGCTTGAGCATGACAGAGGTGGTGAGAATGGCACTGGAGCAGAGTTCTGATAAGCTCTTCATAGGGTCACTGTGAGTTATAGATGACCCAGTGGCACCTAACAACAACAACATAGGTAGAGCAGCATCTGGGACGTGGTACAAGATGTTGAAAAAGTGCTCCGGGAAGCCCAGAATGCCCACTGCCTTCATGGTCTGCTGTCACACACAGAGAGGGATTTAAGCTGAAAATTCACCCATAAGCTGGTCTCTGCTTGCTGTGTATTATAATTTAAGTTCTTTATTCAGGCCTCACTCCCCATGTCCCTGGTAGCCAGGGAGAAATGTTTGTCCCATTTCATAGGGACAGCTTAGAGAGGCAGCCTGGTCAGCAAATTCACTTCTCTTCCCACAGGAGTTTCTGAAGGAAGGGACGCTGATGAAAGTCACAAGAAAAAACAGACGCCCCCGGCACCTGTTTTTGGTAAGTACCCAGCCCCAAACCACGTCCAGGGCTGTGAGCCCTGTGTCATTTCCCATGGATGCGGTGTGGGGGAGTGGAGGAAGTGTTGAGTATTAGTAGCATCTTTAGGATGAGGATCATTCTGTACAACTGATTTTCCAGAATACCATTAGCTGAATCTTTGAGATTCACAAACTATCATTCATTTGCCATTTGAATGCTTGTGAGTGGAATGTTATTAAAATGTGATTATGTTTTGTGATGCTTTCAACATTTCCAAACCTAGAAATGCTTACACTGGGAATAAATGCCTAGTTCAATTGTCTTATTTATTAACACATGAGAAAGCAGAGGCTCCAAGAGGGATGCTGACTTGGTCAAGTCTCTCCAGCGGGTTGCTGGAGAACCCCAGAAAAGGACTTTGGATTTTGACCCCTGCCCAGCACTTTCCCACTGCACCAGGAGATTGGATTTTAATTTTTTTATAATTTATAGCCAGGAACGTAAATACTAACATACCCCTGAGCTCACAGTACATTATCAACTTCAGTGACTGCTGATCTAGAAGCAGCTCTTTGCCTCAAACCTTTGCCCCCAAGTTTGTGCTTTATACATTACTCTTTCTGCTGAATGTAAGAGAGCTCTGATGGCCTAGTGGTAAGAAGCTGCACTGCAGTCCCAAAAGCATGCTGTTCAAATCCATCAGAAAATGATGGATAATCTCCTCCCATGCAATTAACTGCACCTGAAAACCTGCTGGAGGATCAGCTATGGGTTGGTTCCAGCTACACACCAACAACAAAGCTGAGTATAATTTTCCTCTCCTCCTTTACTTACAGTTGTCATTCCTTGTTGTCAGTAATGGCCGCCTCTGGTATCTTTGTTCATACTTTATATTTAAAAAACCTGCCCATCAAAATTGTGTATAAAATAAGTCAGTCAACTGTCACTGTCAGTCTAAGAATGCTTGGCTTCAGATTCCTAGGTGTATGTTGAGTCCTGGAAACCAGGAGATAAAAGTCACATTCACTGCCCTCAGCCTTCATAGAGTATTCTGGGAGAGAGAAACAATCAGACAGATGTAAATATGAACTTAGAAGGATGTTATGGAGGGAATCTCAGAGAGCCATCTGCACATACAGGACCAAGGAGAGCCAGAGAATAAAGAGAAACAAGAGGAACATCAGCAGGTGGCATTTACTGCTTTTTTGTGCAGAACCATGTGCTGTGCTGGGAGGCAGCAGAGGAATTCTCATCTCCTGCACTGTAGCTACGGTCCATATGTCTGTCAGTGGAAATTTGCATGTTGCTATATCATAAGAAGATTTTAGTGGCACTTCCAGACTAAGATGGACAAGGACGGAAGACCTGCTGATCAGCTTCCAGCATCAGCCAGAGGGAGCCCTGAGGCACATAGCAATCCATCTATAGTTGATTATGGAGAGGACATGGCTCTGTACAGCAGTTCAGGCTGTCGTGCACAGGATCCCCAGGAGCCAGTCTGATGTGGGGCAGCTGACAACAGCATCAATGCACTGTGCTGTTTCAGATGTTTCCTGGAGAGAACGATACAAGAGCTCTCCCTCACAAAGAGGGAAAATAGGAGCCTATCAGGTGCACAAAAGAAGGACCTTGCAGGTAGAAGGGGTAGCCTGATAAGCAAGATAGAGGTGAGGGAGCACGGTGTATTTGATGGACTGCTCTGAGTCTGTGACACTGCAGGTGGGGAGGGGGTATCCACATGAGGGCAGACTTTCACAGAGGACTGGTGGGGCCCAGGAGCTCACCATTTGGGGAGGCTGTAAATTGTACCGGAGGAGACAGTGGTG